TAGTCTATGTTTGTGTGCTCATGGCCAAAAGACCAGAAGTAATAATAATAGTTTATTTTATAACTTGGTGGCCTTTTCCAGAATTATACCCATTGGCTTCCAGTCCATGGCTCCATGCACTAACACTCTGGGACCCTCAAGGGCCTTCACCTTGCTCCTCAGAGTGCCATCCTAGATGCTGCATTTGCTGGGTCTTCCCGCCTTGCTGCCAGCTGCTGCCTGATCCTCTGAGAGTCTGTGAACTCCTAGAAAACAACTGCTTCTCAAGAAGAGCAAGTCCTGAGTTTAGTAATCTCATGTTCCACATCTCTCCACAATCCCCTGCATTTGGTGACATGGGTTACTCTGGATTTGTTGCTTCTTTCTAATCATTACACAACACATACTGTGTGCCAGGCCCTGTGCTAGGTGCAGGAGATTAAAAAACAAAAAATAACATGTTGTGTGCACCATGTAGAAGAAGAGCCAGATACACATAGGTAGTTATCAGACTATACTATAACACTATGTGATGAGTGATTGAGAGGCAGTAATGCTGTGTGACTAATGCATGAGCTTTGGGCTCAGAAACTCTGAGTTTGAAGCCTGAAACCTGGCCCAGTTACTGAGCTTCTCCAAGTCCTAGTTTCTCCGTTATAAAGTGGAGATAATAAAAGAATGTACTTATAGAACTGTCAAAAAGATTAAATGAGATAATCCATGAACAGCACTCAGCTCAAGACCTGGCAAGCCATAAGCACTTGATAATTAGTGACTAATTGGGGCATTTTTGTGAGCTAGTTATACAGTGTGAGTAGTGTTGGATATGACAGGATCACAAAAGAGGGACACCCCACTCATTGTCCTTTATCTTCCTTGTGTTCAGAAGTCAGCTAACTTCCCAAACACTGCCTGTAATAAATATTACCAGACTCTGATCATTTCAAATTAAAGCACACTTTTATTTCAGTTCTGGGAAACCTTTAAGAGGTTTTTATCTTAGTAGCCATAGACAGTGCACCACAAAGTAAAAGAAATGAACAGAAAAGAATGTAATAATGAGAAATAGATTTATTTATTGATGTGTAACCCCACCAAAAAGCCAAGATTTTTGATGCTTTCTCCACTGGCTAATTTGTCTGTCGGGTATGTAGCACTCTGTGAAGGACATTGACCATGTGAAATACATCTAAGCCAGAGTTTTCCAGAGTTCTATCAGTATTAAAAGCAGCACTGTCCCTTTGAGCTACAAAGGTGACTGATGTTAACTGGATCAAGGCATGGACAAATCATTTGTTAAAACATCTGAAGGAGGCAGTATGGTTGCATGGCTAAGAGTTTGGGTTGTGTTCCCTGCTTGTGATGCTGGACATGTTACCTAGCTTCTCTGAGCTTCAATTTCCTCATCTGTAGCTATGGAGATAATAATTACCAGCATTTCACAGGATAACCAAGAGGGTATAAAAAGATAAAATGTATGGTCATTTTTTGAGATAGCAGTTTGCACCTAGCACAGTCATCGCTGCATAAATATTAGCTGTTTTTATTATAAATACAGTCCTGATTAGACTGGACACTTTTTTTCTTTTCGCCTGGGCCAGGTTACCATTTTTAAATCTGCTAGTCAAGTTGAGGTTCAATAGTGACCTAACAACTTGAGGTGAGTCATGGGTCATGGTAGAAAGCTGAAAGCACAGCTGCAGGTTTGGTGGACAAGAAAAGCAACTCAATGTCCCCATGGGTTTGTCAGGGCAGCCTCCAATGGTTTGAATTCTATCCAGCTTCCAGAGTCTCAGAAGTCTGGCCCTGCCCCATAATGCAAGGCATGTTGAATACCATATGAGCTGAACTTCCTTGGGTAACAAAAGAGGTTCAGACAGACTGAGTTAGTGCACACTGAGCTGGCCAAAAAATCCTACAAACTAGGTCTGAGGATAGCATCATGGGGATATAGTATGGGGGACCCCAGAGCACTGGCTGCAGACCTCTTTGTAGCTTAAAGTGTCTCATTCCAGACTCTTAGGGTTTCCAGGAGGAGTCTTCCTCAGCTCAATGACCAAGCATGATAAATGCCCAAAGAGATGAACAGCAGCACAATGAATCATAAATGATAAATTAATGATCATGTTTTTTGACAGTATTGCTAATCATTTAATAATTCTTGTCATTGATAATCATGACGATAATAGCAGTTAGAGTTATAATGTGGGAATTAAAGAGATTCAGTTTCTAGGCCAACTTTGCTAACAATTCACTCAGACAAAATGGGTAAACTGTTGAATTTCTTCTCAGTTTTCTCATTTGTGAAATGGGTGTGGAGGTAGCTATTTTACTGCATGCCTTATGTGGTAGGAAGGGCACTATCCATCCTTCTTCCCTATTATAAAGTCAGAAACTTCATAAGTACTTAGTAAATATGTGTTGATCACAAATAAAAGTGATCACCACTGTTTCTAGATTATGTCTTACATATTATTTTGGGAAGGGAATGTAGTCAAAATATGTTGGTTTCTCATCCTGTTCCAAGTCTGTTGCTACTATAAGCATTCTGAAATAAGATTTTTTTAAAGATTTATTTATTTATGCATATAAGAGCTGGAGTACAGGCCAGAGATGGGGGCTGGGGGAGGTGAGAGGATTCGCCAGAGACACAGTGGGAAACAGACTGACTGAAATACACTGCTTAGGGGAGCAGCGGGCGAGACAGGAGAGGTCTGCTTTGCCATGTGGGTTGCTCCCGGGCCTGCCAGGGATCGAACTTGTGCTTCCGAGGCTTCAGATTGCTTCATAGTGCAGTGCTTACCCCCTTGTGCCACCAGGGAGACCCTGAAATAAGATTATTTTAATGCTGAGGAAACTGAGGTATACAGATGTTAATTAACTTACCTAAGTCTTACAGCTCATAAGTGACAAGCTAGAATTTGAATTAAGAATGGTGGGTTCAAAACCCTATGCCTTGTCACATCTCCTTTACTAGAATAAAGGTCCCCCTATCAGGAGCTTCTGTCTGTACATCTAGTATTTTGCTGTTGTGTTTGAAATCTGTTGTTTCTTGCTAGGTGTCATGCCCACTTCTGTTCTGCTTCTTCAATCAATTTAATGCACTTGGATCTCCCCAAATATTACTGGAGAAAAGGGGGATATATCATTAGGGGTATATTGTATGGGAGACCCCAGAACACTTGGCTCCAGACCTCTTTGTGGCTTACAGTGTCTCATTCCAAGGGGATATAGGAGGCGTTTTCCTATACACCCCTTTTTTCCATTGTTCTGTTGCTCTTGTCAAATCTTTGAATTCTGTCTCTCTTTGAGTTTAGTTAGTGGGATTTATTTCAGTATAACATTGAGACTAGAAGTTAGATTTTCACCATTTACAAAAGAATAACCATAAATAAGCAACAAACATAGAGTAAAATGTTCAAACCTGTAGTCAAACAAATGCCCACAAAAGTGACAGTGACAATATAAACCACAAGAAAAAGTGAATGAGGACACCTAATACAAGCAAAAAGCTCTGAATTTTCAGTTTAACCACCCTGATGGAAAGAATTTTGGGAACAAGTGCCCCAAGCCTTGAATATGTGGAATGGTATATTGAAAGTAGCAGTGTGTTTTGTTTTTAAATATTTGTTTTATTTATTTATACAAGAACCGGGGTTCAGGCCAAATGCGCGGAAGGGTAATAGGATTCACCAGAGACAGAGCAAGGAACAGAACAGGCAGATTGACGAAATACACTGCTGAGGGGAGCAGCGGGCGAGGCAGGAGAGGTCTGCCGCACCATGTGGGACCCTTACCAGCCGGCTGGGATCAAACCGGCGTTGCAGAGGCTGCAGAGAGCTTCACAGCGCGGTGCTCAACCACCTGCGCCACCAGGGGAGGCTGAAAGCAGCACTGTGTTTTTCGATGAGCATAGTTCTAGTTCCTGCAACTTTGCAAAAGCACCAGTTGTTCATTGATAAATGAAGAAATGATGTCCTCTCTAAGTCTTTACCCCAAGGAAATAATCAGAAATGAAATCAAAATTAATTTCCAGCCCAATCTCAATAATAGAACAATGGTCAAGCAGTTTATATCCATAAGATGTCATAAAGTTATTAAAAATCATTCAGTGGTTATTTTACAATATAGAATTTGGGTCATCATGAAGCAAAATGAAAAAAAAAAAAACGGTTCATAAGTATTTCTGTTCCTCTTTCTTAGTTCTTTAAAAGAATCTGTACTCTTGACATCATCTGTTTATTAAGTGTCTTCCATGTCCCTAGCACTGTGCTAAGTACTAGATATATAATACAAACAAAATATAGTCCTCTGCTCATGGAGCTTACAAAATATCAGAGAATTCAGCTATTAAACAATCACACAAGTAAATAATTACAAACCCAATGATCGTTAGGGTGGAAAATAGAGCATTATGTTCAAGAGAATTTAACACTGGAACTAAATTTAAACTGGGAAATGAAGGAACATACTCCCTGGGAAAAATGGTACTTAAGCTGAGCCATGAAGAAGTAGCAGGGTGAAAAGTAGGGTGGAAAGCATTGCCAACAGAGGGAGCCCTGTACATAACCAGCCACCTCCCTGTTACTACTGAGAGGTCAGGTGTTGACCCAGATCAGATGAAGCCCCATCTCAAAGTCTAGAAATGCAGCTTCCAAGAATAAAGAATCCAAGAATGCAAGGAAATGTTAGTGGTTACCCTGGAATAGTTTATAGATAGAGCAAATATATAAAGCTGGGGGAAAGTTCTTGCCAAGTTGATTGCATGCTAATTCCAAGTGATTCCTTATAGTACTCTGTCAAGACCCCTGGCAACTTTCTGAGCATCTGTCTTGCATTTGCCTAACAAGTTAATTAACACTTTTGTCATTCTGGCAGCTTTGGAGGGAAAGAGATGAGGAAGTGACAGCCAAGGCTGCCTCGGGTTAACCCTGCACTGTCCTGACCAGAAAAGAAGAAGGCTGGGTTTAGCATTGTCAATGTAAATGTCTCCACACTGATCTCTGTGATTCTGTTCGCAGCTGGGGCACCCAGGGCGACTTCTCCACCACCCATGCACTGCCCGCTGTGAAGGTGAAGCTGTTCACAGAGAGCACAGGTGTTTTGGCTTTGGAGGACAAGGAGCTCGGACGGGTAAGTGTTCCCCACTATAAGGAGCTCTGAGGTAGGTGTCCCTGTATCCCAGTAGGCAGCATTGCCACGTACTGAAAGGCCAGGTTTCAGAGTTTGAATCCTGGGTTATACTCTCCATTAACTGTATGACCTTGAGCAAGCCCCTCAACCTCTTCCCAGCCACCGTTTTTCCTTTGCAAATCTAGTGTGCATTGCAAAAGACCAAGAAGGGGTTCTCAAGCCATCAAACACCCTTTGAAGCAAAGATCTTCCATACCATTTGCTATTATCTTGAAGTGAAATTATTAGTAAATGTAACATACCTACCCATCTAATAATTTTTAAATCAACACAATAAAATAATATGAAGGAGAAATAAAAGGGAATCAATAATAAAATAATTTCAAAATGTTAAGATTCAGCCACAAGCACACTAGAAGACCCAAGGAAGGAGATTTTTCTTGCTTCCAAAGGGAGAATCTCTGTGAAGGGGACAACCACAAAATCCACTGCAGAGGATGGACTCAAAAGCCTGACTATTAGTAACCTGGTTTCTCAAAATAGTAAACAATACTTGGTAACAACTTTTCATTGATTTCCCTGGAAAAATGCCAAAAACCTCTGTGTGTAAAAAGATGTAAGATCTGGCCTCCCTGGTGGCGCAAGGGGTTAAGCACTGCGCTGTGAAGCAATCTGAAGCCTCTGCAGCACGAGTTCAATCCCTGGCCAGCCAGGGAGCAACCCACATGGCAAAGCAGACCTCTCTTGTCTCGTCTGCTGCTCCCCTCAGCAGTGTATTTCAGTTAGTCTGCCTGTTCTGTTCCCCACTCTGTTTCTGGTGAATCCTCTCCCCCCCCCACACCTCTGGCCTGTACCCCAGTTCTTGCACGCATAAATAAATAAATCTTAAAAAAAAAAAAGATGTAAGATCTAGTCTCGATGCATTACAAACAGATTTTTTCTGCCATCCTCATATCCTGCGGGAATATTCAGAAGTGAAGTGGGAGGCAGGATGTCCCTCCTTGTGGAGGGTGATGCATTCATCACGCGATATTTGGTAACCTGGGCCCCATCCATTTACTACCAGCACAGCACAGCACCAGTTTTTTTGTCAAACAGATCTGTTCCCCAAATTTCTGAGACATCAATCCCTTTGAATACCACTGAGATAATAACAACTCTTCTCAAATATCAGATATTGATTCTGCATCAAGCAGCCAATATTTTCAAAATGTAAGTTGGATTTGTCACTTGCTGGCTTAAAATGTTTCCGTTACCCCACACTGCTTATAATAAAATCTGAACACTTCAGCAGAGCCTACAAAGACTCACATGATATGGCGCCCACCCACTTCCCCGGCCTCATCTGCTGCCACATTTCTCCTCCTCCACTATGCCTCTGTGTCTCTGACTGCATTTCAGCCCCTCAAATAAACCAAATAGGGAGGTGCCTTCTGCTGGAGCTCCTTCCCCAGCCCTCAGCTCTTCAAAAGGCTACTTTCTCCTCTGTATAAACAAACATCACCTCCACCTCGGAAAGCCCTTTTCCTAAGTGCCTAACCTCTTTTAGTAGCTACCTCAGCCCCCCTCCCTCCACTTCACATTCTCAAATGAACTTGTCACCAAGGAAAGAGAATTTACAGAAATTTCAGCTTCCATGTCCCCCAGTGGACCGTATTAATTCCATGGGGCTAGAAACCTAAACTACTTTGTTAATGACCAATACCCAGAGCCTAGCACTTAGTCTTTCAATAAATTGCACCTTGTAGTGGTTGAATGCATAGTTGCTTCTGAAAGCTGTGTGACCTTAGCCAAGACATTTAACCTCTCTGTGCTTCTGATATATCATCTAGAAAGTAAGGAGAGACCATCCCCACAGAAGCACACAGGCACACATACTTCACAATGCCAGCAAGAGCACACTAACTGTGCTTTCTTTTTTCTACCTTTCTTTTTTCATTTCCATAATCTGACTTTGAATTATGGAACTGACCAGGAACCATATTACTAGGATGGAGACAACATGGAAGTAGAAAATAACTAGGGCTAATAGCAAAAATAGTAACACCACCAATCCCCAAAAAAATGGAGGAAAAAGAGGAAAAAAAGGAAGTCTAGCTGTTTCCTTTGAGAAAGACATGTATTTCTGTCTCTAGGAAAGAGAAACAGAGAGTAGTCTTTTGTTTTACTTTAGACTTTTCCTTCATTTTTTTTTTTTTTTTTTTTTTTAAGAAGAATCCTGTCAATCCTGAGAATCTCTGGGATCCAGGATATTGGTATTAAAGGAGACAATTCCCGGCATGCTCAACCTGAGACCACCAAAGGGCTCCAGAGGACCCAGTCATCCCTTGAAATTGTTTACAAATGTGGGGGGAGGGGACTGGGTGCATTTTTCTGAACTCACTAGACCAAAGCATTTACCAACATCTCAAAGCTGTTTCCACTCAAAAAAGCTAAAACCACTGGGCTAGTCAAACCCTTTCATTTTATACATGAGAAATCCAATTCCCTGGAAGGCAGGAAACTTACCCAGAGCCACCCAGTTAGATACTTAGCCCTTGTTACGCATTTACAGTTGGCCAGGCCACCACCCTAAGGACTTGATGTGCAGCCCCTCAGTGCTTCCTCACAGTAACCCTACTGGGGGCCTAGATGAGGCTACTTTTGGTAAGTAGCTTACCAAGAGTGATGTCTTTTCAGTTCCAGAGCTATTTTCACTATACTTTGTTGTCCCTATGCAAAAGTAGAATTCTTGGCTCTACTATGCTGGTGAAGACTACTGCCTCAGCCCCACAGACCCATCTGTTCCTTAATAACTCCTTATTTCCTCTAGCACCCTTACATATTCCCCCCAAAGATTGGTTTATTCTTCCTTCCTGCCAAAGAAACTTCAATTGCAGCGGATCTGGCCCTTGTGCCAGCTGGGGCGCCCTCTTCTGGCAGCACTTTAGCAAGCAGTGGTTGTATAAAAAACAGTGCCCTCTTTTTAAATTTTGCAACCCTTGGGGAGAATATTTCTGTTTTAGTTCTTCCAGTACCACTACATTCAAAATCCCTGTGCTACATTCATTCAAGAATATTTGGGTTGTCCCATTTTACTAACCTTTTTAATTGAAGAAATAATGCATGTATATTGTAAAACAAAATAAATAGTGAAAGTTAATGTTCCCTCTCACTTCACTCCATTATTCTTTCCCAAAGAAAAACCCTGTTCTCTATTTATTATCTATTCTTCCCATAATACTCTATGCATGTGCAAGCATAACCTATACACATATATCTGTATACATCTCCCTTGAAAAATAAATAAAAAGAAGACAATTGGCAGTGATTATATATATACTGCTCTGTGCTTTGCTTGAAATAGTATGTTTGGGAATTAGTTCCTATGAGATAATACTGACTCCCTCATTTTCATAACTGAGTTTATTCCATTGTGCAGATGTATTATAATTGTTTAGATTGTTCCAGTCTTTGGCTAAATAAGCAATGTTTCAGATTCAAAAAAGCATTGAATTTAATTCTTTGCATATATGCATATAGGATGCATTTGAAAATAATGTTCCTGAATATAATTTTAACAGATACTACCAAACTTTCCCCTAAGGAGTATGCACTAAGTTATACTTCCACAAAAGTGTGGCTTTTTACCCACACCCTTACTAACACTGTATTAACAAAGTTTTATCCATCAGATAGGATTGTGGGCACCTTGTGTCCTGTCATTTTTGCTTTGCACAGAATATATAGGAGTACTTACTGGCAAAAATACTTAACCTCACTGAAGTTAAAGGATATAGACATTAAAACCAGAAATTAGAGTGCAGCATGGTAAATGCTCTGGAAATGCATAGCAAAGGGACAAATTCCAGTCTGAGGTGCTGGAAGTCTTTGGGAGGAGGATACAGAGATAGGAAAACATAGTAGGTCTTGGAGGGGTTCAGCTAGGGAAAGGCTCAGTGTAAAGTAATACCCCAGTACTGCCTATGTGCCCAGGTAACTAAGAGAAGCTGGGGCTGGCTTGTGGGCAGCTTACTGCATGGGGTGGCTTGTGTTCCCACATCAGCATCACCACATCAAAGCACAGCACACATGGGCCTCGGCTGAGATGACGAAGTGCTTGATTAGCAGCCTGGAATGTCCAGATGAGGTGTCTGGAAGGCTGGGGGCTTGTGTGCATTCAAAGGGACCCTAATAATTCAGCATACTGACACACACAAAGGAGTCGTTGGCCCGTCGGACGCATGGCAGGGTGGAGATGAAGATGGAGAAGAATTGCATTGACCTCATCACTCCATGTACCCTGAGAGGGGGTCTCCCCGGGGAGCGATCACGTGTGGGAAGAAGGCTTTGTGGAGCGGCCAGTAATGAGCTGCGGCCATTTGCGTTGGCGAATGGACACCATATTGCCAGTGGGAAACACGCCCAGGATCCATATGGCGGAAGGCCTGTTAACGAGCTCCGGATGCCCAGATCGCTGCTCCCACTTTGATTTTGACAAATGGGCAGGGACAGAAGGAAGCCTGGGACCTTTCCTGTTGCTGATCTGGCCCTGGCTGGCCAGACCCTCCCTTTCTTGTGTCCCAGTCCATTCTCCGCCTTCACCTCTCGGGAGGCAAGGTCAACCTCCCAGGATCCTCTTTGCGCTGGCTCGCAGGTGATGGAACGTGATGCGCAGTGTCATTTAGGGACACGCATGATCTGAGGTAAGGGAGAGGTCACCACCACCCAATGGTACTCTGATTTACTCAGGTGCTTAAATGTCCTAGCCCAGGTCTCGGTCCGCCAGTCAAATAAGTGAGTTTCTACACTGGATGATGGAATTTTAAGTAAATTAACCCTCACAAAATACAAAAAACTATGTGCTGAAAACGATACTGGTGTCGCAAGCCTGGCAAACAACGCAAAAATGGTCGCGCTAACACACACCAGTGCTGCTAGCAGTTCTGTCATTAACATCGTGAGATAAAAACAATGTAATCAGAATAAGATTTCGGGCAAGACATGAGGAAATTATTCACAAGACTACTTGAAATGTATATCCAGTATCATTAACAATGAGCCTTGCCCTAAATGAATATTGGTAAATTATAATACATTTGGAAATGTGGTAAATATAACATTTACCACATATGGTAGTTTTACCATATTTTACCGCGTATATATGATAAAATACAGCTTCAAAAATAGCTTATTCTCCCAGTCTTCTAGTACAAAGACACCGCAATTATCAAGATATTTAAAATAGCTTTTTAACTTTAGCCTATCTTTTTAAAAGTCTATATTTGTGTATGTTTTATGATATATGTAACTATATTACTATATTAAGTAAGTATGTAAAAATATGACTATTTTACTAATATACAATATTTTCAACTTTTTAAAATTATCTTATAAATTATTATTTTACTGATATTAATATTAACTAATCTTAATAATAATAGTGATTTATTTAGATACTTGGCAGATTGCACAATTTACAAATTGAAAATTGCTCAAAATATTTCACTGAATTAGGGCATGATCAAAAATATTTTGGCAGCCACTGTCCTCCTTAATTTTCAATCATGTCATAAAAAATTGAGGGACTCATATTCTGTGTTTAGCAAGAATATATACATTTTCTTTCATCTGGGAAGGGATTTTAATGGGAAAAAAGAATAAGGTCTGGAATCAGAAGGGATGAAAAATTACCCTTCACAGGGTGCTTCAGATTATTTTCTTCCATGGTCTCCTACTCTTATTCCACAATCATAAGGAAAGCCATTGATTCTACTCTCCACATCTGGGCAAGCTCGCATGATGGCAGCAAGGCTGACGTGGCATCTGGAAGGCCAGAGTATCCACCCCTGGGACTCTGAAGCCTTCTTCCAGTGGTCCCTCTCTAGAGATCAGAGAAACCCAGGAAAGGAGCCTGCCTTCCCCACACCTGGAGAAATAGATGCTTTGAAAACAAAGCCAAATCAATATGCCACAAAACCAAGGCATCTGCCTTCACAGAAACAGATCTTCAAGACCAGTTTTTATTGTGCCTTTATATAGTTCATGTTCCCATAGTTTAGGGGACTTTCCAAATATTTCACTCTTTCCCAAGTGCACATTCTCCAGATCCCATGGGGCTCCGGAGAACCCTTTTGTTGTAAAATTAAAAAGTGGATTTACTGAGATGGCTACTTCTTGCTTAGGAGCTTAGAGCACCTAAGACCATGAGCACATAGGTCGAAACCCAAATCAGCGTCCCAGTCTGAGTACACTGGCAATAGCCATTTATTAAGAACTGGTCCTTCTTCAAGCTGTATGTGCTTCCTTTTATGCCAGGATAAAGTGATGAAGTGTCAAGTCCTGTTTATTTTTTTAAAGATTTATTTATTTATGTATTCAAAAGCTGGGGTAAAGGCCAAAGATGTGGGGCGGGGGGTTGGGGGGTGAGAGGATTCACCAGAGGCAGAGTAGGGAACAGAACAGACAGACTGACTGAAATACACTGCTGAGGGGAGCAGCGGGTGAGGCAGGAGAGATCTGCTTCGCCATGTGGGTTGCTCCTTGGCCAGCCAGGGATCAAACTTGTGCTGCAGAGGCTGCAGTTTGCTTCATAGTGCGGTGCTTAACCCCTTGTGCCACCAGGGAGGCCCTAAGTCTTGTTTAAATTGGGTTGAAATCTGTAAGCAAGTCCTTTCCCTTCTTTAAGTTTTAATTTCTTACTCATCAACTAAAGTGCCTTCCATTTTCCTTTGCAGCCTTTGAGGGAATTCTCATTTTGAAATAGTGGAAGAAATCCTGAAGAATGGGGAAGAGAGTAGACTAGAAATACTCTTAACATGGAAGGATATGTCTTCCTTTCACACCCCCATCTTCTTACATGAAGAGAATATTGTGTGGGGAACATTCTGTGTTCTGCTCTGCTTTCATCCTTCTGAAAAGTGAAAAAGCAGGATCACAGAAATCATGATCTTTATGTGTACAGAATTAACCAGGGAGAGAGAGAAGTGAGCCAGAGACCACTACTTCTATACTCAGACAGGGCTGCTTGGTATGAGGACCGTGACTGGTGGTCCAGTGACCAGCCCTCCACTTCATTTAACTGCCCTCCCACTGACTGTAGGGCCTAGACAAGACACTGACTCTCAGCAGCAAAATTTCTCATTTATACAAGCCTGCCTATCACAGTTTCATTTTCTGGCTAAGTTGGTTATCCATTTTCCCTACAGGTTATTCTTCATCCCACCCCTAACAGCCCCAAACAGTCAGAATGGCACAAAATGACTGTCTCCAAGAACTGCCCCGATCAAGACCTCAAAATCAAACTTGCTGTCAGGATGGATAAGCCTCAGAACATGAAGCATTCTGGGTAAGTGTCTCTTCTCTTGGTGACAATTTCCGACACCTTCATTCATTTCTTAAAATATTTTTAAAAAGAAAAACTGATTGTTGGAGACCTGCAAGAAGGAAATATAAAGGATAGTGAGTGATTGTTAATTCCTTAGTTCTTCATATGATTACTGAATATGAGTTTATGCTATCAAGATAGTATCATCTTTTCCTCTTTTTGAAAAGATGTCTAGTACAATTCAAAGCTTTCCTTAGAAGCATTCTGGGTGACTCTGGTTTAGAAGTTTTTATTGATTGTATACCTTCTCAAAGGCATCCAGATATTTCAGACTACAAATGACTCACTTATACATTCATTAACAACCCACATCCATGAGGTGTGAGCAGTTACTGTTGATGGCCTTCAAATAATCAGTTCACATCAAATCAGTTTCAGTGTTTAATATCACATTTATTTATTTGTTTATTTGTTTGTTTATTTATTTAATGCTTAGACAAACTGAGGTGTAGGCCACAGGTGCAGGGGGTGAGAGGATTCATCAGAGACAAAATGGTGAGAAAAATAGGTGGATTTACTGAAATACACTGCTAAGGGGAGCAGCAGGAGAGACAGCAGAGGTCTGTGCTGTATGTGGGTTAGCTCCCTAACCAGGGATCGAACTCAGGCCATAGCAGTGACCATGCTGAGACAACCGCTAGGCCACCAGGAAGGCCCCTTACTATAGAATTTAACTTAGTGACCATAGAGTAGGAAAAAAAATGATCATATTCAGTTTCTTAAGATTTGAGAGGAATGCCCAATGAACTAATTTTAAGTATGATAAAAAACAATAGTAAAATATAATTTTTTTTATTTTTTTATTTTTTTTCTGTTTATGTTTTATTTTTTTTTATTTATTTAAATAATAAATTTTATTTTTATATTCCCCCATACAATTGCAAACCCCCCATTCTGATGGGGTAAAATATAGTTTTATAGATCAAACTAATGATTAGTATAGAAAATATTTATTGACAGCTGGGTACATGCTGAGCCATGGTCCAATAAACTAAATGCTTGGCCCTCACTATCTGAGAAAATTCAGCCACTTGGAGAGGAGTGCCATAAAACTCAGATCAAGGAATGTTTAACCCAGAGAAGGACTCTGTAGGTTCCGTTTGCCAACAAGCTAGGAGTAAGAGGAGTAAGAGGGAGTAAGACGGTTCTATGAAAGGGCTTTAAATGGCAAAACTGACATGAAAACTAAGAATTGTTTATGTACTGGAAGTTTGGAGAATTCAGGAACCAAATACCAGGGTCTAATCACTGATGTAAAAAATTAAAACAGAAGCCTGTGGTGGCCCTGACCTAATCAGGGGAATGCTTAAAAGAGACTCTAAGGTCAGAGAGAGAGAGGTATAAAAACTGTTTCTCTTTTCACTTTGAAGAAGCAGTTCATAGTGGGACTGTTTATGGGGTGGGGCAACCACTGGAAACTGAAGGGCTCAGTCCCACAGCTATAAAAAACTAAATTCAGCCAACAGCCTGGATGCATTGGGAGAGGACTGTGAGTTTTAGAAGAGAATGCAGTTTGGCCAAGATCTGGATTCCAACCCTGAGAGACCCTGACCAAAGAACGCAATGGAGACATGCCCAGCTCCTGAACCATGAAGCTATGATGTAATAATAAGCATGTGTTATTTCAGAAAAAGGCAAAACAAAACCAGAAATCTATGAGAAGTCCATGATGGAGCAATCAGAACAGGAAGTATGTATCCCAGTAAGAAGACCACAGCAGCTTGTGGTCAGAGGGTAAAGAACAGGACCCTGGCTTGGTTCTTTGGAGTTCTCAGAAGCAAGGAAAGCTCAAGGTCCTAGAGAAAGATAGATAATTACCAGTCGGGGTTTAAAAGAAGGAGGCTGACCCCTACGGGAAGCAAAATTACCAGTGAGCTGAAGAACATATACTGAACTTGAGTTTTAAATTCAATTTGGAGACTCTGCATGGCAATATCTTGAGGACAAGCCATTCCCAGTGAGCTGAAGACCATATACTGAACTTGAGTTTTAAATTCAATTTGGAGATGCTACATGACAATGTCTTGAGGACAAGCTGTTCCCAGAACCTGAAATGGGTTTATGCCATATGACTGTGGGGAGCTGAACCAGACCCTTCCTACATACTCAGTCCCTTCTCAAATATCCATGATGAAATGCAGCAGCTTCTCCTCAATTAAATTAGGATGCATGAAGATGTGTCATGAAATGTTTCTGAGGTGAGCTTTCTTTCCCTATTATCACACCTTGGCATATATTCCAAAAATGTTCAGTGGAGTTTCTCCTCATATCTCTTCCTTCAGTGTTAACATCCAAGTTTCAATGTTAACATCCAGGAGGTCTTGGGGAGTCTGTTAGGTTCCCATATCACACAGGATAAGATTCCATGTCTTTATCAAAATAGTCACTTATAAATAGTTATTATATATTTGCTTAAGGACAGAGCATGAATGAACAGAATGGAGAGAGAGAGAGAAAAATGCAGAGCCTAGAGTCAGTGTATTTGTATTCAAAACCACTTTCTTTTTTCAAATTTCCTTAAAAGTGTCAGCAGCTAAACCCACTTTTCTCAACCCTTTTGAAACACTATACTAGGAATTTTACAAATGCTCTCTTACTTAGTCCTCATGACAAGCATTTGACAATAGGTACTACTTTCCCGATTGGACAGATTTCCATTTCCCACATTTTTTTCATTTACTCTGTTGGAAACTGATCTGGATTTAGTCATTTTTCTATCGATTCATTTATCAAAGTGTTATCATATTTTAGGGTAATAATTTAGCAATGAGAAATATGTATTCACTGCTAACAGTTTCCATAGCTATTTCCTATCTCCTGGCTGCCAGTTAAAAATTACCCCTGCTGGGAAATATGCCAGAAAGACCTAACATAACTTTGATAAGTGGACAATGGACTTCTTAATAACACTGTCAGAGCCATTGTGGCCTAAATCAGGGATGAACAACCTAGCTGTGCAGAGGTGATTCGGGGAAAACAAAAATGGTTGTGGACGATGTATTTTCTTTTTTAATCAAATTTTATTGATTTGCTATTTGCTTACATAATTATATAGTTAGGCACAACTTCATCATGTGCACATTCTCCATTCACCCTCCACCAGAATACCAGTGCTAATACCCTATCACATCACCCCCTGCCACTTTCCTTTCCTCCCCTCCATATCCCTCTGGAAACCATTTTTTCTTCACAAAGTCTAAGAGTTATTTTTGTGGTGTTTGCATTTTGTTTTCTTTGGTTATTCATATTCCACAAATGAATGAAACCATCCAGCAATTGTTTTTCACTTCTAAATTATTTCACTTCAGTCATCTCAAGATCCATCCACCATTTAATCATTTTTAATGACCAAGTAGTACTCCATTGAATAGAATACCACAATTTCTTTATCCAGTTCTCTATTTGTCCATTTAGGCTGATTCCATGATTTGGCCATTGTGTATAATTGCTGCTGTGAACATGGAAGTAAATAATTCTTTTCATGTTCATGTTTTCATATTCTTTGAGTGGTATTGCTGGATCATATCACATTTTGATATTTAGTTCTTTTAGGAATTTTCAGACCATTTTCCATATAGTCTCTTGTAATTTACATCCCAACCAATAGTGAATGAGTGTTTCCCTTTCTCCATATCTTCACCAACATTTGTTGGCTCCAGTTTCTTTTTTTTATATATATATAAGACATACTGACAAGGATGAGATGGTATCTTATTGTGGCTTTGATTGGTTTTTTTGTCATAAAAAATTGATGTTGAACATTTCTCCATGTGCCTAGAGATCATATGTATGTCTTCTTTGGAGAAGTCTCTGTGTAGGTATTTTTCAGTTGTTGGTTTTTTTTTTTTCTTTTGTTGAATTGTCTGAGTTATTTATCTATTTTGAAAATTAACCCTTTGTTGGACATATAATGTCAAATAATTTCTCCCAAACTATAGGCTGCATTTTTTGTTCTTTTGGTGGTTTCTTTCACTGTACAAAAGCTTTTTTAGTTTGATGTAGTTTGTTTATTTTTGCTTTTGTTTCCTATGCATCTTTGTCTGCTGAGGTGTATCATCTATGTTTTCCTTTATATATTTAACGCTTCAGGCCTTACATGAAAGTCTTTAATCCAGTTTGAATTAATTTTTGTGTATAGAATTAAATATTGATCTAACTTCATTTTTTTTTTTTTGCATGTGGCTGTCCACCCTTCCCAATGTCATATTTTGAAGAAGAATTTCTTTCTCCACTATATGGCCAGGCCTTCTTTGTCAGAGAGTAAAGGTTCATATTTGTATTTATTTCTGGACCCTCAATTTATTCCATTGATGTGTTCCTGTTTTTGTACCATACTGTTTTGATTGATATCACTTTGTAGTAGCATTTGATGTCAAGGATTGTGATATCTCCATTTCCATTCTTGCCGGTCAGGATTGCTTTGGTTATTCAGGGTCTTTTGGTGTTCCACACAAATTCTATAATGTTTTTTCTATCTCCTTGAAAAATGTCATTGGAATTTTGATAGGTATTGCATTGAATCTAAAATAGCTAACTGTCCATTTTAACTATGTTTATTCTTCAAATCCATGAACACAGAATATCTTTCCCTTTTTTCATATATTCTTTTAGTTCATTTGACTAGTGTCTTATAGTTTTCAAGGTACAGGTCCTTCACCTCCTTTGATGAGTTTGCTCCCAGGTATTTCAACCATTTTGGTGCAGTTGTAAATAAGATTTTCTTAACTTCTCTTTTCTCTAATTCATTGTTTGCATATAGAAATGCAACAGATTTTTCTACATTAATTTTATGTCATCCCTCCCTCTATACTGTATTCATTTATTATTTAATACTTTTGTCATCTTTTGGATGTTCTATGTATAAGATCATATCATTTCCAACACTGGTAGTTTTACTTCTTTCTGATTTGGATTCCTCTTATGTCTTTTTCTTGCCCAGTTGCCTGGCTCAGACTTCCAAT